CATATGAGGATATTTTTTCCATTGCTTTTCAGAGGGAGTGGAAGAGAGGGAGAGAGGAGAGAGAGAAAGAAACATCAATGTTCGAGAGACAGATGACTGACTGCCTCCCTAATGTGGAGCCACACCGGCCAGAGCTCACCTGTTTTTATTATGTGACTGGCTCCTAAAGACAATTGGATTTACACCAGGTGGAAGTTCAAATCTTCAGGTGGAGATCAGGGATTGGCCAGCTTCCTGTAAAGGACCAGACAGGAAACATTCTAGGTGTTGTGGGCCGCACAATCTTTTTTTTTTTTTTTTTTTTTAATATCTTTATTGATTTCAGAGAGAGGAAGAGAGAGGGAGAGAGAGAGATAGAAACATCAATGATGAGAGAGTCATTGATCGGCTACAGCCTGCAACCCAGGCATGTGCCCTGACTGGGAATCGAACCCTGATCCCTTGGATCCTAGGTCGACGCTCAACCGCTGAGCCACACCCAGCTGGGCCGCACAATCTCTTGTCACAACTGTTCACCCCGCCGCTGTAGTGGAAACGCAGCCGTAGATGATACATGCACGAATGATCCTGGCTGGGTTCCATTCCGACTTTGTATATGGACATGAACCGCATATAACTCTCTCCTCTCACACAATATTGTTCGTCTTTTGATTCTTCCCCCCAACCATTTGGTAAAAAGCAAATCTAAGAATGGTGTTTATACAGACGGCAGATCACGTTTGGCCTGTGGGCCGTAGTTTGCCAACCCCTGATTAAGAGCGTTGTTCAAAAGCTTCTAATGCTTTTCCAAAGGATCCGAGAAGAATGACAACAATCCCAGAGCTTTTACACAAGCAGCTCACTTCCAAGATATTCTTTTAAATGCTTGGAAACTGCAATTTTGAATTAAACAAGTTATATGAGTTGAACAAAGGCTGCTACTGACTGGTTTGTGCTGGGCTCTGTGGGTGGCCTCCCTTCTCTGAAACACTCAGGAATAAGAATGCTGGGTCAGTGACAGCACCTGGGTTAGAAGCAATGAGAACAAGCATATGATGACAACTTGGAGGGGCAGGGAATAGGCTGTAGCCATCAGGTCAATTGCAAGTGAATTCAATGGGAACGGACCCCGATTACACTTGAAATATACATAAATTGTGAGCATTGATACTCAATAGTTCTCCTGTACATACAGCTGACTCAGGCCTCGTGACAGTTTTCCACTCGCGCTCACTTCCATGAAGCCACCCTCCTACACAGAGGACACGTCTTATTTCTTTTATGATCCCAGCACACAGCAGAATGGTCTTCTGGTCCATTTTTTCCCACAGTGGAGATAGATCCATGCCAATAAATTAACCTCCTCTCATGACTCACTTGAAAGAAACATGTGCCAGTGAGTAAGCTAAGCCTCCTTACCACTGACTGCTCCAATAAAACCACGTCTGATGAGTGTTTGTCCTGACAAGCATTGAGAAAACACCGCCCTTTCCTTTTTATCGCTTTCCTCACCAAGTCATAAAGCAGTGGGAGAGAGCTCCAATAAAGACAGAGCGGAGAGGGGTTTTTTGTTTGTTTGTTTGTTTGTTTGTTTTGGTTTTTCCAACTCATCACTCTCTGAATTCTGACCATTTTTTATTTATTTATTTATGTATTTATTTATTTATTTATTATTTTAATATATCTTTATTGATTTCAGAGAGAGGAAAGGAGAGGGAGAGAGAGAGATAGAAACATCAATGATGAGAGAGTCATTGATCGAGCCCACAACCTGGGCATGTGCCCTGACCGGGAATCGAACCCCGATTGCCTAGATCCTAGGTCGACCCTCAACTGCTGAGCCACACCCCGCCAGGCCCTTTATTTTTTAACACAACATGTATAAAAGAGCATTTCTCCACGGACACATCACTGGGCTTAGAGAAGACTTTGCTGCAGTCTAAATCTGGAATAGCCCGGAAGTCTGGCCCAGTGATCCGGGAACTTCTGAGCCGGCTTTGGTCCTGGGAGCAACCTGGAGGATGGGCAGGCTCAGCATGCATGCACGCGCACACATGTACACGTGCACACACGGTTGGAGCATCTACTAAATGCTTGGCAGCACAAGTAGCACAACAGTCAGATGTGACTTTGTCTTTGCCCCAGGAAGGTCACCTTGTTGGGTTGTGACAGCCTCCATTGCAGCTTTTGCTCAATTTCCACTGAACTGGGTAAAAATGCTATTTAATCCAACCAGAGTGACAAAGTGTAGTTTTCTACTTCACCTTGTTGAGTTTTTTCAGAAAGTTCGGTTTGAAGCTCTTTTTTTTGTTTGTTTTGTTTCTGTTTTGTCCCTACCAGAGCCAGTGAGCTTCCTCGCGCATTATTACTCCCGGCCTTGGGTAGGGCTCAGCATTGATTGGTTTGCTGTTGCCTCTTGCTGCTGTGGCTTTTCAGCCCAGAGTACAGTGAGAATTTATACCCCCGAGTGGCGAATTCACCTATAGTAGTCCCCGCTTCACGGTGTCCCTTTCTGCGGTGTTAGTTACCACCACAGCCAACAGTGGTCTTACAATATTAAGTGGAAAATTCCAGAAATAAAGAATTCATAAGTTGTAAATTGTGTGGCATTTTGGGTAGTATGTTGATCACTCTGCTGTGTGCGTCATTCCGCCTGGGGCGTGAATCATCCCTTTGCCCTGTGTGTCCATGATGTCTACATCCCACGCCTGCTAGTCACTCAGTGGCCAGCTCAGTTATCAATAGACTGTCCCAATATTGCAGTGATGGTGCCCAAGTAGCCCTTATTGTTCTTAGTAATGGCCCCGAAGTGCAAGAGTAGTGATAATGGCAATTCGGATATGTGGAAGAGAAGCCATAAAGTGTATGTATGTATAGGAGGGGAAAAAACATAGAGAGAGAGAGAGAGAGAGAGAGAGAGAGAGAGGCTCTAGTACTATCTGTGGTTTTAGACATGCATGGGGTCTTGTAACATATCCCTGTGGATTGGGCCGGGGGGCTATTGCATACAGATTCGTTTTGCCCACTTTGGGTTTCCCACGAGAACACATGGGCTGGAGGGGTTGCGATGACCATTGCTCTGCTTAGAGGACCGCAGATAAAACCTTAGTCATGTAGAAGTTGTCATGAGGTGACGGAGGTTTGGTTTTGTTGTTATTACCATTGTTTCCACATCTTTGGCACAGGTTAGGAGGAGCTGGGGGAAAGAATGAGTGACTTTTGGGTGATTCAGACGCCCCGCGCTGGACAGCTCCCAGCCTTTGGAGTGTCTGGGTTCCCAGAAGGTGGGGACAGGAGAGAGAAAATACTCCTCACACCTACCAAAGGAGTGCCTGGAGAGTACTGTGGAAACCAGGCGCTGTGTGCCCTGAGCCTGTGAAGCAGCTGCTTTGGGCTCTGCTTGGAAAGGTGTGAAGAGCAGGGAGGCGCTCGGAGCTGGGGGGTGGCAGTCACTCACGAGAGGAGCCAGCAAGACTCTCGTCTTAAACAGTTTGTTCTGCCTTCCTGCTTGTGTGTCCCCCAAACATGGACACAAGCCCTTCCCTACCATTCTGGGGGTCAGGAGGCCCCCGATGCTGGCCTGACAACATCTAAAAGACAGGGTTTAGCTGCATTTTAAATGGGACTCAGACAATAATGTGAATTTGAGAAAAGCAACTGGGATGGGGAGGGGTGGGGAACCACTGTTGAATGTTAGGCCTCTATTTCCTCATCTGTAAAATGGGCCACCTCCGTGGGGTATCTTGTGGGAATTCAGTGAGATAATGGTCTTAGCTCTGTTCTTGCACTTAGGTTATTATTTTAGAATAATGTTGGTTCTTCTTTTATGGGAAATATGGAAGAAACTCAGATTGTTTAGTCTAGACAAGGAAAGATTAGAGGAAGACATGTGAGCTGAGCTGTCTTCAGATATTTAAAGGATTATTATGTGGCAGAGGGAACAAACTTATTTTTAGATTGCAGAAAATATGACTTAAAATATGGCCTTCGCAGGGAGGCAGATTTTACATCAGTGAGTGTATGTGATGGAGACGTTGAGGAACAGCAGGCATGCTTGTCGCATGCGGGGCTCCCAGTCACCAGACTTGCTCAGAAAGGGGCTGGGTGACCGCAGCACTCGGAGCTCGGGAGAAATGCCTGCTCCCCATGGGAGGTTACTTGGACTAGATACCTCAGTTCTCGCCCATTTCTGCGATGCCGTGAAATTCAGCAAAGGCCTGAGTTTTTCACTCTGGGAAGACTCATGAAACCAGCCACTGTGTAGAATAAACCAGAACGAATAATTTCCAAGGCTCTTGGGGATCCATTGGGTACGAAACAGCAAGGTCATCTTAGAGAAGATGATTCTCAGCAATTTCTTCATGGTATTAGTTTTCTAGGGCTACCATAACTAAGCGCCACCGACCAGCGGCTTCAACAACAGAAATTTATTTTTCACAGTTGGAGGCTAGACATCCAAGACTAAGATGTTTGTTAGAGATGGTTTCTCATGAGGCTTCTCTCCATGGGTTGGAGATGACCGTCTTCTACATGGCCTTTCCTCTCTTCTCTTTTTTAATGGTTTTATTGAAAGAGGAAGGGAGAGGGAGAGAGAGAAAAACATTGATTTGAGAGAGAACCATCAATCAGCTTTCTCCTGCACACCCCCTACTGGGGGTCAAGCCCACATGTGTCCTGATCGGGAATCAAACCGGTGACCTTTTGGGCACGCAACCAGCTGAGCACACTGGCCAGGGCATCGCCTCTTCTTATGACACCAGTCATTGGCTTAGGGCCCAGCCACATGACCTCACTTAACCTTAACTATCTCTTTAAAGACCTTGTCTCCAAACGCAGCCACATTCTCAGGAACTTTGGGGGGCTAGGACTTCAACATATGAATGGGGTGCACATCATTCAGCCCATAACACTCACATGCAGAGGACTTATCCTTGGAGTCAGGGATTGTGGCCGTGACCAGCCTTCAGAATTTCTGTTGCGTGTTCTTTAAACTGTATCCTGTCTTGACCCCCTTCTCGTAGGTGAACGGCCCTTTCCCTGCACGTGGCCAGACTGCCTTAAAAAGTTCTCCCGCTCAGACGAGCTGACCCGCCACTACCGGACCCACACCGGGGAAAAGCAGTTCCGCTGCCCACTCTGCGAGAAGCGCTTCATGCGGAGCGACCACCTCACGAAGCACGCCCGGCGCCACACCGAGTTCCACCCCAGCATGATCAAGCGGTCGAAAAAGGCCCTGGCCAGCCCCTTGTGAGGTGCTACCCACGGGGGCCAGGGAGGGAGGCCCGGAAAGACAGAACTACTCCCAGCAAACAGACACACACGTGGAAACAGCCCCAAAGAGGCGCGCTGCCAGCACAGGAAGTCCTGTCCTTTGGTCAATATTCTGATTTTCCTCTCCCTGCATTGTTTTTAAAAAGCACATTGTAGCCCAAGGTCAAAGTGCACTCTTGGTCCCCTTGCAGAGGCAACTGAACCGTCTCTGACTTTTGGAGGGAAGGCAAATGTTTTTTTCCCTTCCTTTATTTTTT